TGTTACTCGACACCCGGGGTGGGTCCCTGGAGACCTATTATACAGGTCTGACCTAGTTTAGGCTCCAGTCTCCCACAAATGTGATTTTTCTTTAAGTGCCTTATAGTTAATAGACATAAACTTTGTAACTTTGTGGAGAAATAAATGATTTTGTATTTGTATTTGTATATTGCCAAAGAATGATGTAATTGCTTTATTTCGTTCTCCACCGCGAGAAATTTGCATTATGCAGAACTTACAAATTTGCTATTTTTTCTTACTGTTAATCTATCCGGGTATCCGGTATGCGGCCACGTTACCATCCGTTTCATCTCTAGTCTAAACCCCTACCCCCGCTCCTGCATTTGCACGATATGGTATTGTCATTAACCTTTCTTTCGTTAGCGTACAGAGTTATCACAGTTTAGTACGATCTAGGTATTTAAATATTTTTTCTTTTTGTACGAAAGTGAAATCTAATCAATTATTAAAAGTCATGGAACAAAAGTTGTTGTCTAGGATGTTAGTAGGTAATATAGTAATAATAATGATAATAATAATAATGAAATAGTCCTGCAAGGTTGTTAGTATTTTACAAATAACCCTGTATATGTTAACATTTAGTGCCAATAGAGCTCCTTGTGAATGAGTTCGTCCAGGGAAGTACTTCCACCTTACTTATCTCTGCTGCCAAGCAGTAATGTGAGCATTACTTCGTTCCGGTTTTGAAGGGTACGGTTGCTGGTGAAATTACGGGCACATAGGACTTGTCAACTTGTGTCTCTGGGTGACGGGCGCAGTGGCAGTGCCCCTCCGATCATTGCGGTTTAAAGCTCTGAGTGGCACTGCAATTGTTGTGAACAGGCGTGTTGCTTACCATCAAGCCCGCAACTTGTTCGTCACGTCACTTGGTATTATAAAAAAAAAACATGTATACACATAAAGTAATACTACCTACACAATAATAATAATAATGTAAATTATTTCAAAAGAAAATACCTTTCTTAAAATTCTGTAATTTCTTTAGATTTTGTGGCCACTAATTATAAAAGTTTGCCTACCCCTGGTCTAGAAAGTTATCCAAATTATCGTTTGGCTTTTACGAGTTGAACGACGCAGTGTTGCACAGTCCCCTACAAAGTGAACCGATTACTTCTAACACAAACTTACTATGTAGTTTTACAGAGTTGGTGGAAGATGCATACCACACCTATCTATTATTCCAACTGAGTGGCAGTGTTGGACTTATTTGTATGTCGGCTTTAAGAATATTAGTCGTAAGTATTAACCCATAATTAATTACGTATCATCACAGTATGTCTGTGTGTATTACCTATTAGACGTTTTTTGTGTGCTCTTGCTAGTATTAAAATTTCAGGCGCATTTAGTAAGTGACTTCATATTCACAGGTTGAACCAACGAGCCTGCAGTTTTATTCAACGTTAACTTATCTATCTGTAATGATAAGTCAGCTTTACGTATGTTGTTGGTCTGGACAAGAGCTTACAGCGACCGTAAGTACTCAAGTAGCAAATTAAGTTACTTATTTACGTTAAATAAATTGGTAATTATTCTCACGCGCAGCAATTAAATGCAATTTAAGAGCCTAATACACATATCCGCCATTTTGTACTTTCTTTTTTTGTGTTATGGCAATAGAGCTTTGACTTTTTATTTCATAGTTCACTACAGACCTTTTTTTTGTATTGAGAATCGAATAGGTATAAGTACGAAACATTTTTTGTTACTCGACAACGTATAATATAAGAAAACATGATTCCCAATGTTGTTGATTCTCTGACTCTCAATTCTTACCATAAATATGTCAAATATGTCAAATAGACTAAGGATATTGAGAAAGTGTTTTTACTTTTTTTTTGTTTTGAAGTACATACCTTACATACCTTTTTTTGAAGTACCTACGTTGTAAATTATTCTTAACGGAGTCACTACACTGATCGACACGAAATCGTGTTATGGTAATAAGCATTGGCGAATTTGCCCAAAGGCGCAGTAGGCCCGCGCTTAGGGCGCACATAAGGGTGTTTAGCTGTTCTAGCCGGTCAAAAGTCAAAATCTCAAATGGGTTGCAGAAAAAAAATCCACTTGCCGTGAGCTGGATAGTTGCTCAACAATAGGTGACCCTCCCCTACCCTCCCCTATACTCTTACCAATATTTCCTTTCACTTCCCAAAACCAGTCGAAAGTTTATCGTCATCTAGTGTGCACTTATCCTTTATTGACATTTCTTCGATCCGTCGAGTTCAAAGTTTAATATTAGTGAATTGGTGTCTGCCTTAAAAATAGCCATGGATTCTGAAAATACAGGTAAAGATGTATACTTTTCTTGAACTTTCTTTAAATTTAGTTTTTATTATAATGACTAAATAATTTAATAAATTAATTCAATTTTTAAGATATTTTTATTAACGTTTTGGTATTCTCGAAGGGTTTAGTTAAATGTATCGTGAGATAGCCTCAATATATTTACAGAACACTTAGATTTAATCTTTATTATTACGATCATTGAGAAATTACATGCTCTTAGATGCACTTTCTCAATATATCAACACTTTAGTATCAGTCACCGTTAATGATATTTTTTACTTGATTATTTCATTTTAACTCTATTTTAAATTTGTTTTAGAATCACCTGGAGGCTCAAACTTAAGAGTGGTAACAAGGCAAAGTCTGATCGATAAATACAACGGCAGCATTTACCAACGTTTGAAGAAAAATTTAAATATTTGTCAACAGCCCTTTTACCGCCTAAAATATTAGGTTATATTCCAAGTATAGTATATTCCAAGGTTATCATTTTAATTTCACTTGTAATTGTTTGTAAAATAAAGAAATTGTTTTTTTTTTATTTGTTAACTACCACTAACCACTTGTTTTTATTTTAAAATATGATAAAAGCTCCTATATAATAATACAAGTTACGAAAATGGTTTTGACCGGCTAGATCGGCATTTTACCCCTATATGTGGGGCGGCCAATGGTTCACGCGCATAAACGCGGCAAACCCTATACTATAGCAGCAGAGCGCGTCGTGACGGGGGTAGACAAGATTTTTTTCTTGTCCGTCGCCGAGCAGTATACATAGTTCGTGTGTAGAAACGACACGAATTCTTGCACAGACGCAGCGACTTTTCTTAGCGTGGACGCGCGCCCTTATAGTGTCAGTTTTCAAATATGTAAACTTAACTATCGCGTTTGCATTAGTGCTTTAATATAAACCTTATAAATATATAGTTAAGATCTAAACAAACGCGGTAGTTACATAATGCTATTCCGTGTCACTAAGTGTGGTGATTCCCTTAAGGCGAATTCCCATTGTGTCATGATGACAGTTAGTCGTTCGTGTCTTGTATATTGAAATGAAGTTGTTCACATACAGTACGACACGATTAATTTGCAGTTACGACGACAGACTGTCGTGACAATGGGAAGAGTTAGAACGACAGTCGTCCAACGACAAATAAAACGTTACGACCATTGACCTAGTAGGTCAATAGTTACGACACAATGGGCACGCGCCCTTAAATGTATTAAAAAGTGTAAAATGTTGGTAAACATTTTTTTTGTGACCCTTTTTTTGACCGCTTGGGGCGCCATACAAAATATCAATATTTAGAACAGCCTAGTTTTAAGATTTTCGCGATTCCTATTTTAAATGATACTATTTTTCCGGATCTAAATCGCGTATATTATATACCGTATATTAAAACGTTTATTATATATCGCTTAAAGTATAATATTTGTTTTTTTTTTTTATAGAAACCAACGTTTCGGGCAGTTTACAGCGTGCGACCTTAAGGTCACGGCTAACTGAGATCGTTTATCGTTGGTTTATTTAAAAAGAGATGTATGCATAGATTTAGTATTCAGGTACCCCATATACTAAATCTATGGATATATGCGGTATTTAAAAAAGGGATTAGGTAAATGCGATGTTTAAAAAATAAATATAATATTTAGATCCGGAAAAAGATTTATGTCCAATTTGAAGCAATCCTTGGCGACTATCGATCGATATTATAAACTAACAGTACACCTCTGAAGTCTTTTTTTGTAATGTTTTTGAAAAAATTCTTGTAGAGCGAAGATCTCCACACAGTCCTTTATAAAAGTCTATGGTATGAGCAGGATCTCCGCTTCAAACGTGCTATCTGTTTCGCTATGAGACGCACGATGCGCCCTATGATCTTTCGTGCCGGACATTACATTTCTTTATCCAGACAAACTTTTGTAGCGGTAAGTTTCATTAACCTTGTATTAATAAAGCTACGTGTCGATAAGAATCTCGATTCCCTACCAAAGCGCAGAAGTCTTTTTTACAGGTTTGCGTATAAGCGCGCGCAAAATATTAATTTTTTTCCCATAGATTAAATATAGTGATCTCAATTATTTTTGGTCACAGATCGAAATTCAAAGTTTGGGGTTCTTCAAGACTGTACATTTTTTTTACACATTTAAAATGCCTTCATTCTCGCCTTGAAAATGCCCTAGTGCGCCATTTTGGGAACAAGTCTGCAGGCAGGGAATTCTACTTCATAGCCATTCGTCATATAAATGTGGAATCCTTGTAATGTCCATAATATAGAGGTGTAACTCCGTCTAGTCTCCCGATCATGGAAAGGGGAAGGCGAAATTAAATCGTGCAATTCCCTTTGTACAAGTTGAGTGGATGCGAAGAAACCTTCGTAGTAGGAAGGTGTGACAGATACTATAATACGATAATCAATATGATTAACAAACTAAAAGATTTTGCGGCGCCTTGTTCTGTCACACAGTCTATAAATGGGACTCCCTTCCAGCGCATGTATTCCCTGCCTTTTAAGATATGGAGTCCTACAAACGAGGCATAGAGAGGCATCCGTATATAGGCATGCAGGGTGAAGGTGGCTTGGGCGGTGATTGTATCAACGTGGTATCAAGACTGCACTACTGTCATAACTAACGTAATCGAGATTTTTAGCGAAATTCAGTTATTAGCATATCTGTAGGGCTAGCATGACAGTGCGCGACTTGCGCGAGAGCGACATAAAGCGTGACATACTGCTATTGTCGCATTAATACAATATCTCGCCTTCTTATGTCGCTCTGGCGCAAGTCGTGCCTTGTCGTGCTAGCCCTATATGAATGAACGAAACGAGATATACAACCTCATATAAAGAGGTATTTTTGTCTTATTTAGTTTCAATTTTACTGGTAATTGTCATTTTTCAAAGAAAATACTTTTTAGATTTAAAGATTCTTTCACGTTTGGCTTCCACTTCCATTTAAAATCAGATGGAATGGAGGCTGTTACGTATAAAAAGAAAAAGATTAGAAATATTATAAAATCTGTGTTTCAACCTTTCAGATTCTACGGATGTCATATTCCTATTTCGCCGTTTTGAACCAGACTAATCACTAAATAGCTTTAGAGTTACAATATTTCATATAAAAACATGTATGTTGAATTTTTAGACTTAGCTCGTTTTTAATTTGTTTTGTTTAATGTATTTTGTAAGTCAATTAAAACACTTTTATTGTAATTCTATTAAATTAATAGAGGGTATAATTATTAATTTATATTTAATCTGTCAATTATAATTTCATAAACCATTTAAATGAGCATATCACAAAGGCAAAGGTAGGTCAATGGCTTAGACTATGTTTTTATGGTTCTGAACTTAGAGGATAGAAAAAAAATCAAAATTCTATTGTCTACGGTACTCGCTACTGAACTGAAAAAAGATCGTCGTATTTTTGCTTATTAAAAGAATCTCCTTATAACGCGCCACTGTGTTCCTGAACAAAATAACGTCACCATATTTGAGAAATTATTAAAATTAAAATTATTTTATTAAATAATACCTTAAACAGGTACAAAGGCGAAACCAAATGTGAAAAAATGGGTGAATTCTAAGGATTATTTCCGTTAAAGTAACATAGTATCATAATTTAAAGAAACACCATTTACCACATTAAAAAAAAACAAACTTGAACCTGCCAATGCATCCGCGGTATTTGCAATTAGTCACATAAAACCAAACACTGTCGTAACTCAAAATTGGTGGAATTGAGAAAACACTATTCGAAAGTTCCAAAAAATTTTTTGATCAAAAGAAAGCGCCATTTCGAAAAAAAATTCAGTGGAGCATGTTTTAGGTTTTAATAAGTATTTTAAAATATTTACATACTTCCTATTTAATAAAAATAAAATAATTTAAAAATAGGACGTAAATATTTTATAACAGCCTGTCTTTATAACAACGACGATATATTCTATTAAAATTCTTGGTCGAAAATTATATCAATAAAAGTAGTATGACGTAGTATCAAATTGGTATATTACATAAAATAATTACAGTACGTCTCAATAAAACAGGAATCATAAGAAAGGTTCCGATAACAAATAAATATTAAAGCAGACCAAACAATTTAATGACGATCTTTAGAACGTTCATTAACGGATCCTGAATAATACCTAACAACGCAAATAACATGTTTTGTTCTACAAAATTGGCTGTATAATTTCCAAACAATTTAGCAAATTAAACTAACATTAAGTTTGTTAAGTATACATAGTGTTTGGAGGACACTTAATTCATGCCCTGTAGCAATTAAACTTTGTCAAACTAAACTAAACTTTGTAACCACAAACCCTGTTTATAGCAGTTTTCATGTCATGCACTTCAATTGTATCCATAGTAGGTTCTAAGAAATTAAGCTATATATTGTACAATATTTTGGTGTGAATAGATGTTTTGTTAGCAGTAGAACTCCTTGTGAAAGATTTCGTTTAGGGAAGTACTCCCAAGCAGTAATCTCAGCATCGCTGTGTTCCGATTTTGAAGGGTAATGCGTAGGTCGAGATTTTGTAGCTTCGACTCCACAAGAGAATTGTTGCTAATAACTCTCTGTAGTTTTCGCTCCATCGAGTCCAAGGCTAACTGGTAATGGGCAGAGCCGTCCCAAAGGTGGCAGCAGTACTCTACACACGATCGAACTTGTTCTTTATGCAGATTTGTCTAACTCTTGATGGAACTGGTAAAAGCTGTGGCCGAGGGTTTTGAGTAAATGAAAGGCTCGGTCCACATCATTTATTGTAAAATAGGAATAGGAAGAAGGTAAAGTAAAGGCTGTAACAAAACAACGATATAAACACAGGTACAATCATATAAAAATAGTCCCTACTTACAGACAGGTTATACAGGTTAGACATGGTAAAAAAGGTACTTAACCTGAAAAGGCCTGTATTTTCTACCAATATTAGGCTTTACAAGCAGTTAGGTTACATGATTTTCAATGTAAAACTGGTCAGAATTTTATATGAAGTCGAGTACGTGTGCTCGCTTCGGAAATTTAGTAGAAAGTGGCGTCGGAAAGAAGAAAAGTGAAAGTGACGAAGAAATGGAATTAAAAAAGGACGATTCGAAATTTTCAAGTAGGTGACCAGGAACCTGAGAAAAAGGGTGATAAAAAGATGGGATGACAATGAAAGAGGTTGCATCGTCGCAAAACAATCACCCTGTAACTTTTCTGTCGTCTCCAAAGTGAATATAAAGCGTAGAAACTCACACTTCCGGTAATCTTTCACGTTAAATTGTAGTTTTAAAATGTCGTCGAATAACGTGAACCTGTTTTTAAATCGCCCGATAAATATCCTCACAGCTTTCGGGGTATGGCTGCCTCCGAAAAACCACGTAATTTTGCACAAAATATACATGTTAATAATAATGATGACGCAATACAACTTTGTTCTTTTCGAGTTCATTTATATAGCCAATGTATGGGGAGATTTGGATGAGGTATCAGAGGCTTCTTATCTACTTTTCACTCAGGCTTCTGTTTGCTACAAATCCACTGCGTTTCTTATTAATAAAAACAATTTGATTGAGTTGTTGAATTTCATGGGAAATAAGCTTTTTGAACCGCAGTCCATTATACACGAAAGGTAAGTAAGATATTTGTTTGCTAAGTTTTATAAATACAAATAAAGTAGCTCTGGCGTAACATTACTGTGCCTTGGATCCTTTCATAATCGTTAATAATAATAATTAAAGTGCCAGACAACGACATGAATAATCCGGACCAGAGAATTGAACTGCCCCTGGTGCTGGAACTGGTGCCCCGGAGTGATCCGAGGCACCATCCGTACGTATCCGATACGAACATATATAATTATTCTTTTTACAAATTGCAAAACTAATTTTACAAATTGGTCCTACCGGCAATCGAACTTGAGATTTCCTCATCCAGCGCCTGCATTTAGGCCACCGAGGTCGTCAGTGTAACATAATTCTAGAATGTATTCTGAAAACTGATTTGATTGCATAATATCTGCACGAGTCACCAAGTTCGCGTTCAAGTTATGCTATCCATTGTTTTCATAAACTATTTTAGTGATGCAACAGATCTCTGCTTCTGTTTCCGCAACTGTATACTCATTAATTTATTGCTCTCCATGAATAGGACTGCGAAAGCTCCACAAGTTTTTCATTCTGTTTCCTTATCTGCTTCCGTAACTTTTACAACGATAAACGGAAGTTTACACCGTTTGCGATGGATGAGGCGTGCGTACGGAGTACTTGACGGTGGGATGCGCGTTTTTTAGCAGTTTTGTGTTAAGTGCCATTTTATTATGAAATCAAAAACAAGGTCATATTTGGATCTATTTCGTTAGATGTTTAGTATATGTTTTGTTGGACCTTTACACTTCCGTTTCCGCATCCGTTTCCGCTAAGACTTACTTTTGAAATCTGTTTCCGTTTCAGTTTCCGATGCATCACTATTATAAACTATAACAAATAATTTCTAACAATAAGTTATAGTTTATCTTACTTTTATCAGGTTCCTGTATATGCAATCACGGACAATAAAGCGTCTGTGCCTGTTCTTCTTAACAAGCGCCACCACAACGTGTACCCTTTGGGCATGCATACCGCTCTTTGACAACGTCGGGAAAAGATTCTTTCCTTTTAAGATTTGGTGTGTGTCATTCTTGTTTATTTTACTTGGGAAATAAAAAAATGGTATATTGTATACGCTGACTAGAAAATATTGTTCTCTACTTAGCAGAATTTGTAGTCACTTTTCTATCGATCATTGCCTTTTTTAAGTCATAGTTTGTATTAAAATTTGAATGATGAAAATACACACAACGGTACATTTAACAAAACACTAGTAAATTCCCAAATTAAGGCAGTGGTTTTTCAAAAGATAGTTATTTTAGTAGATAGATAAGTTATTTTAGTTTTTTTAAGGAATATTTTGTATTCTTATTTTTTCATTAATTTGTTTTAATTTCCTATACAACACAGATGTGTCTGTTATAATTTTCAACCGTTACGTTGTTTGTGTAAAGCTGTACTGAGTCGATGTTTTAAGATGTTAATTTAATTGCTATTTTATATCTAATTCTTATTTATTTAAAATATAGGTAAGCATTATTATTTTATATTCTGACTTTTTGTTCTGCTAAATATGCCCGAGTGTGTATTTTGTAAAAGAAAACTATTGATTTTTAATCTTGGTCAATAATATACAGGGTTATCTGTAAACTATTAACAACCTCGCAGAACTCCATTATCAAAATCACAAATAACAACTTTTGTTCTATGACTTGTTACAAAACATAATAAACTTACCAAAGGTAAACTTTTAAGTTTCTGTTGTACTATCTGACACGTTTTAGATATGTATTTGGTTCGGTATTATAAGTTCAAACAAGCATGCGTCCTCCGCGATGACTCCCCGCCCACAGAGAGTTATTACCATTTAGAACGATCGATTTAAATCCATATTTTTTTAAATAAAATCATGTGATGGGACGCACAAGTCGTGCAACTGATGGTAAGCTACACGTCTGCCCATAACAGTCGCAGTGCCACTCAGAGCTTTAAATCGCAAAGTTCTGCAGCTTGATTTTGATTGCCTCTCGTCGAGGCGCATAATTGCGATTCACAACTGGCCGATCGGAAACTTTTAACATTTCAAATCGGAACAATAGTTGATTTAATTCACAAATTAGAAAGTTACTTACTTAATAGGAATCAGGTACTTACTTAGTAGGAATCAGGTTCATCTTCTTGCTCGGAAACCCATCTGACTTCGAGACTCGGATGGGCTAATCGATCGGCTCGTATCCGATGTAAATTAAAATCAGCCTGCTGAAGAGCACTACCACTGCGCCCGTCACCCTGAGACATAAGTAAGACATAAGTTGACAAGTTCCATATGCTGTAATTTCACCAGCACCCTTCTAAACCGTTTTGTTATTTATGATGTTAGTAACATAGTCCTGCTAGGTTGTTAGTGTTTTAAAAATAACTATGTATAAGTAAGATTACTACTTAGTAAATTTAGTGGATTGTATTAGCGAGACCTCGGAATTGTATATTTAGTGAAAACCACAAATACAACCACAAATGTGGTCTTGCAAATATCGTTTTATGTATGTCTACCTATTAAAATTGCATCAAATACACTCTTAAGGGTGCGTTTCCACTGATGCGGAGCTGGGCGGAGTGGAGAGGAGCGGACCGCGAATTGGCCAATCACAGTGCTCGAAATCTTCACTCTTGGAGCGGAACAGACTTTCATATAAAATATATGAATACGCGCCCCCGAGCCGGACAGAACGGAGTCGAGCAGGCTGTGGTGCCAAGCGGAGCGCACGAAGCAGAGGTGGTGAGGCGCGGCGGGCAGGGTAGACGTGTCAGCAAAGGATTCGTGCGCTGCATTTTAGTTTAGTTAGCGATATTGCGTCATAAATTTCACACGTCATCGACATTGTATGTGAACTAAAATGGATGAGAAGCTAATTGAAAGTGTCAAAAAATTTCCATGTTTATGGGATACACGACAGACAACATACAAATGCAATGAAACCAAAGATGCGAATAAAAGCGCTGCTCTTTTTTTTATTGACAACACCACTTGCCACTTTTCACTGCTCTTCTCCGCTCCACTCCGCCCATCTCCGCGTGAGTGTAAACGCACGCTTAGGGACTTTAGAAGTTTGCCTTGAGTGACGTCCTTTGAACTAAAGAAAATGTTTTTAATTAATACTAAGATCGAATACGAAGGAAAATTCTTTCGATCTGACAGGACACGACCTGTCTGTATGCGAATACAACAAAATGTTTTTGTTTAATCATTGACGAATTTCCGTTGACAAGGATGCCAGTAGGCCCAGAGAAATCCCCGCAGTTCGAGTTGGGTTACGTCTATCAGATGGTGAGCATTTACATCAGTGCGTTCCTCTTCATCGGCATCGACAGCGTCAGTCTCTCGATGATCATGTTTGGCTGCGCGGAGCTCGACATCATTGTGGACAAGTTGAAGAAGGTAAACGAAATTGCTTCCACTGATAATGATCAGAATCAAAATCCAATATAGTACCATTATTAACGGGCTTAAAAAACGGTTACTATTTAATCGCTCACCAAAAAGCAAGTATTTTACTGCCACTCCCCCAACAAAAATACTGATTGCACATCAAAACGGTTATTCTCGGACTAGTGTTCACGGCCTAATTTCCGTGGCAATTTTTATTATTTAGGTATTCAAGTATATTATCGTGCAATTATTAAATAATATTTCACGAAACAGTAGTCGAATGTGTCCAAATCCTCTCCCCGCGGACTCAAACTAGTCAACACGTATTTATATCGCTCTTGTTTCATATAATTTATTTAGTGTGAAAAAAGCTATTTTTTACAATTGAAAATCTAAACACCAGAT